AAGTTACCGTGTTTATCTTTACATACTATACAAGTATGCTGGAGCGATGTCGGCGTAGCGGTTACGTAAGTTAACGACCCTGCTATTTTAGATGATTGAGTCTGTCTACGGTCGACGCACCTTTTAATCTCCTGTTTAACGTTCGGTGAGCGCTGCATCACCTTTATTTGATCTCGCACGAACGATGCTAATGAATGAAAGGAAGGCATCTCCGAGCTACGATGCTCCATTTCAAACGCACGCACGGTGTCGGAGTCTAGTTTCTTCAATGCTATATGGAGAAACACCACGTCCATGAGGTCATTAAACTTCAAATTCTTAAGTGCAGCCACCGATGCCACAAATTTATCGAGAAACTGCTCTAAGCCGTTGATGTTCGCGGATGATATAGGTTTAAGATCGAATATCTGGTTCAAATATTCGGAAGCTAACATTCTCCTATCTTCATATTTAGTTTTAAGCGTTTCAAATATTAATACGTAATTGTTTGCTGTAGGTGTAAAACCCGAGCAGATCGACTGTGCTCTGCCACTAAGTTTGCTAATTAAGTAATATAATTTTTCAGCGTCCGATAACGATGGGTTGTTGTGTATATTGTTTTGAAAACTACTGAAGAAGAAGGGCCACGTCTTAATATCACCATTGAATACCGGAATATCTATTGGCGGTAACCTAATTGAGTCACGAGGGCGTACCTGCATTTCAGGCTTCGCTTCACCTTGAGATTGTAGCAATTTTGCGGTTCTCTTCACGCGACACAACATATCTTCGAATGCCAGCAGCGGTTGGTAGTTCACTATGTATTTCGGGTCGGTTTGTAGTTCCGAATGATTAATTTGGTCTAATATTCTTTCGTAATCTGTCCGCAAATTATCAATCGTTTCGATTTCATTTAAAAAGGCCTCCCGTACTGCCTCTATATGAATGTTCTTTATATAATCACTTATATTTTGCACACGCGAAAAGAGTATGTCCCTCTTGGCATAAAGCGTTTTAATTTTGATTTCACTTCCACTAACTGCCATTTTAAATTATTATAATAAAGTTATATTAATCACAATTAATCTCACACGCATAAACGACGTAGGATGAATACTCGGCGTGCTGTATTACGTAATCAGATCGAGCGCCCGATGCAGTCAAGGCTACGCGTCGTTCGCTAAACCTAATAATTTTATAAAATTGTGGGGTAAGCGTATCAAACGGTTGCTATCACGCCGTTTCAATTATTTAATAAGCTTTAAATTTAACCAAATACGAGCGCTATTAAATGAATAATTCTGTTTGCGAGTAACAAATCAAAATTTTAATTTAAACGAACACTATTTAAGTCTATTCTATAAATTAGAGTGCGTTATCTAAACAATTAATTTAATAATTCGACCAGAAAATGGTTGGATAACCACTAAACACCAATCCAGATCCTGCTCGAAGGACCATAAAATGGTGGAGCCACGTGTTTAAGGCTGCCGAAAATCTAGTTCCCCGGTCAAACCTCAAACCTATTACGCGAGATATTAACTAAAGTGGACTGTATATGCGATTGCTTCTATGCTTATGTGAAGCGACTACTATAGCATGCGGTACAATGCACTCGCTCTTCCCTAAACTAAACTATTACTTGTCGAATCGATGAAAGGAATCCTGCTTGACTAGGAAAAAAAACACAAATTGGAGCGGGTTAAATTATTAGCAAGCAGGTATAATTAAGGAGTATTGACTCACCGGGGTTTCTTCTTCCTGTCGATCACTATAGCGACTTCTGGAACACTCCGGAGAGGGGCGGTGCGCGACGATATCTCACACGAGGTGAGGCGGGTTCCTGGAGCTCGACTGCTTCCAGGCCAAAGCGGTTTCCACTAGTGAGGTGTTTCCAAACGAGCGCGCGGGAAGAGGAGGTTGTAGTTCAACGACGACTGTGGCGGGAGAAGAGAGCGCGCGTCGGTCGCGCGTGTCTTATATATCCTCGGGTCCGATGATTACGCGATGTTCTAGAATCGTCTTCTTTCCCCTCCCACCCCACCACCCCGATGTGTCGATAGGAGGGTACGAATGATATTGTTTCGGAAGGGAATAATGATTCGACAAATTCCTACCGTCAAAAATAAAAAACGCGAATGGTTTTCCGCGCAACCAGCAACTCTTTCAAGATATAGTTGCCTATACCTGAGGAGGCCGATATCCACAATTGGACTTTTATATGTTGACAATACAATAAAAAATAAGATTGTATTTATGTAAATTGAAGCATTTTTTAAATTAATAAACGTTTACTTCGTTTCTTCTTTTTATTATTGACTATAGACCTGTGTGTGAAGTCCCCGCTTCGTGGTTTAACAGATTTTCTATGAAATGGTTTAGTACGATTGTGCAATTACTGATAATATATATTCATACCCAAAACGCGAACAACACGGGTTCGATCCGCGCCGGCATCTATGATATTGTTAATTCCAACTTTAAGTGCTGATTTACCACGCGCTTAGCGCTGAAGAAAAACATCATGAGGAACCTGCATGCCTGAGAAATAAAAAAAAATATTTCTAAGATACGGGAAGTGAAGCCGCAGCGCGGCGGATATTTCCGTGCCCGAAAATCCTCTTAGAAATGAAAGGAGGCCTGTGCCCAGCAGTGGCTATAACTTTAACTTTTATTCATAGAAATTGCATCTATCGGTATTGTATTACTCATCCATAATTTGTTATAAAAGATGAAAAATCGTTAATCATAAGTCACGGTTCTATTTCATACGTTATCCTTATTGTACTCGTATTATATTTACGATCTACGTTTCTACGAACATCATAAACACTGTTTAATAAGGGGATGCAGAATAATTTTACCTATTGTACTAAGTAAGAAACAAAAAGGAACGATTCGATCAATTCGATTTGACAATGTGTTGTAGACGTTAATATAGGACAACCCCTAATGCTACTACATCTGTAACGAATTCTGCATTAACAATAACAAAGCCACACAGCTTAATAAAATAGTACTGATACAGTATCAGACCTTCATTTATCTTTAGCTTAAATCAGTTTTATTATAAATTAATACTTTGGTGAGAACAGCCAAATATAAAATTATAAAAAGGATGACAGGTAAAATCAATCCGCTTTCTAATTCCCGTAATAAATAAAGCCTTATTCACTTGTTGCAATTCACGGTAAGGTGCGCGTGTGTAAAAAAGTCTTAATTAAACCAGTGGTTAAAATAAAACTGCTTGAAATCCCCCGACCACAATTCAACACAATACAATGACCAGGAAATAAGCGTCGGAGCTGCGAACATAACTGATATTTTGTTCTTTAACAAAAAGATTTTAGCTAGAGGTATGAGTGTGATGAAACGGAGGTAATAAAGCCTTTTTATGTGGTAAAATGCTTACACATATCCGTATTGCAGGAGAAAAATACCGGCTATGTCACATTCGCACCGACAAAATCCCCATTGTGTTCAATCTTCGCCATATAATAGCGGGAACATGGGAACGTGCACCATATTCGTGGTCCCACTGGTGCCAGCTGCCCCATGCTGATCTTTCTTTGGGAAAGGATAATTCCTACTCCTCTTCAGGTAGCGTAAGCTTAGATTAAAAAGCGAATTGTCAAAGAACTCAACGCGACGTTACTCGTTCTTGCCTTGAAGACACCCACGTTAAAATCGGTAAGAATGATAGACGCTGGCAAATTATACCACTCGTTTGCCGTACGCATTACGAATAACGATGCATACCGTTTTGTTTCAATGCTTGGTATGAGGGCAACGAATGCTTAGGAACGAACGTTTACTGTGTTTGTCTCAGTGACAAACACGGTTACGGTAAATTCCTACTAAACCGCTGAAATGATTTTGACGAAATTTTTATGTGTCTTTCTGCGGGTCTCTGGATGATTTAAATTCACAATTGATCCGATAGGTGGCGCTGTTATCAGATCCTGAAATCACCCAGGCCAGGGCGGATTGCTAGTCACTATATACATATATATTGAAAACGAGGAACAAGTTCAAGGGTCCGAGACTTTGGGTACTATGAACGCCAACCTGCTTGTTTGATTAATAAAGACTCTCCCGATTTAAATAAAGTATATGTTCTAAGACAAAAAAAAAACACAACGAGAGACTATAATAAATTCTATGTAGATCTTGGAATAACGCATTCGCCACTACTCCACGTCTCTGGTCTTATTATTTAGTATATTATACGAAATCGTGATACCACCGTCTATCGGAAACTTTACTAGCTTTTCATATAGTCGCCTTTTACACAACCCACGGCTCAGATGATGAATTGTTTTCACGTCGCTTATTTTTTGCACTTGACCTTAAAAAGGCAAGAAAAAAAGAGCAAAGTTTTAGCCGCTCTGCTAGGTTTTGTTCAGTAACGGCAATGAATATTTCTAATTCTGCATAAAAATGACGGTACACTGTACGCAAACCTTCCAACTTGTTCCCCTTTATTGGGGCTTGCTGTGTTGGCTACAATATTTTTTCTTGTGTTTTCATCAGACAGGTTCTGCTGCCCCTTTTTGTTTCATTTCTCATCCTCACCACTGAGAAAACCCACGGGATGATATGGGGTGGTAGATTCTCTTACACCGCCACTATACGATAGGCACATGTCAATCGTGAATGAATAGTTCACTTGACCCAGGTGACATCAAAGTATTGATGATTGCAATCACATTTTTGAACGTTCTGGATCAAACTATTGACAGAACCTACGACCTATATTCTTTGGTCGTAATGTCCGAAAACAGAACATTATCGAGCCGACCTCACAGATTATCTAGGTTTTACATCTTACTTGCATGTTAGAAAGGGCTGTTGAACATAGAATTTTTTTCTATGCTCAAAAACCGGATCAAACATTACAAAACACAACAATTTATAAAGAATACCTTAAATATTGACACTACTAGCTACCCTGTGGAGTAACCAACTTTCATTCGCAACCTTTTTATGTTATATAAATAATAGAAACTTCTAACACATACCTAGCAGGGTTGTCGATAAAATCAGGGAACCACACGCGATCTGAATTCCAATTCTTAAGACGTTTATTGTTTGGTTCATAACGGTCATGATGTTTCCATTCACTGAATACTTCGTCTGTAGGATGCCAGCGCGGTTCACCATAAGCTTCAAAAACTATGCCATGATCCGTATCAAAATGTCTTTTATGTGAATGATAATGCCAACTTCGACCATTAGTCCTCGGACTAAAGAATAAAGATATTACTGAAAATAAATCCAACCATACAATTATAGCATTTACTTATTTATTTAACCTTAATATCCACACAATAGTGCACAAAAAGGCGAACTTAATGCCAGAGTGAATTCTCTACTAATCTACCTCTCGATTTAAGAAAAATATTGTACTAAATATTGCTACATTTAAAAAAATGTTTATATTACATTTTTATTTAATATTCTTGACACACCACACAAGACATTATTATTTATACAAAAGAAGTATGTCATGGGTGGTCTTATTGCTGACAGCAATTTCTTATAGACAACCCATAAGTTAAAAATTCAATTAAAAAAATATTGATTTATCAATTTATCTTAAATAAGAAGCAATAAATTGCATTTAATTTCGACTTAAAAAATGAGTTATTCAACTCCTTAAATGGACAGGATTGCAGGACGAATGTCAGCGGTAGGGCAAGTCAGTGTGATAAAAAGTAGATATAAAGGAATATACATACACACATATATAATACAATTAAATGCAATCAATATACAACGTAGTATATATTTAATGGTTAGTGACAGATGAAGTCGTATTGTCAGCCACTTGAGCTTACTAAGCTATAATAGAGTCGTGGTAATATTTATGTCATAATAAGGAAATTTTATTATTTAATTTTATCATCATCATCATCATTACAGCCCTTCACAAGTCCACTGCTGAACCCTCCCCCAAGTAATGCCACAAAGCACGGTCCTGAGCCACCTGCATCATCGACTTCCTGCATGTCTTACCAGGTCGTCACTCCATCTAGTGGGGGTCGCCATACACTACGCTTTCCGGTACGAGGCTGCCACTCGAGAACCTTTATTTCCCCATCGGTTATCGGTTCTTCGAGCTATATGGCCGGCCCATTGCCACTTCAGCTTACTAATCCGTTGGGCTATGTCAGTCACTCTGGTTCTACTGCGGATATGCTCATTTCTGAGCTTATCACGCACAGAAACTCCGAGCATAGCCCTCTCCATAGCTCGCTGAGCGACCTTGAGCGTCCTCATAAATTACTCATCACAGTTAATTTTATATATGCACAATAAACAGAAATACTTATTATACAATACATTGTTCGAAACATTCTTATATACATAAATAAATAATTAACTTTCCGGATTCAAAGTACTATAGTAATTTAATAAGCAATGAGAAAAATTCAGATAAAGATGATTCAGTTGGTTTTCAGTCATCTAAATTTAATAATACGTAGGTGGACAGTAATGAACCATGTTCCAAAACCGAGAAGGTTTTATATTCGATGCGTATGTTTTCTTTAAATTTATGTTGACCGATTTATCGAAAACGGTTGAACCAATTTTAGTGATTTTTCTTTTATTAAATAGTTTATACTACATCTCATATAGATTTTAAGATAAAATTTCTTCCCTTAGGGTGGAAAATAGGGGACTGTTAGTATATAGACGGTATTGTAGTTGTTGCCTTAAATTTGCGATATTCCTTAGTCTACTGAAAAGGGTAAAATAATTAAGCTTAAAAAAAAGTAAAACCGCTAAGATATAGTTAAGTTATAATAACAAATTCAGAAGCTAAAAGGTCGGGCAAAAAGTTTATTCGTATTTTATATACAAAACTAAACACATTTTTTTTCAAAGTTTTACTACATTTAAATATTTGCAATTTTGTTCAATAACTTGTTACCATCTTGTAGTTAGTGACATAATCCCGTTGCTAAGGAAATCTTGGGATTTTTGATCAAAAATAAGCGACAAGTAGTTTTGACAGTTCTCTCTTGATGTTAACCTAACACTACCCACATAGTTCTGAAGAGATCGAAACAGGTGAAATTCTGAGGGTGCAAGATCAAGACTATATGGTCGATGCATTAACACTTCCTAACCTCAATTTTTGCGAAGTGGCCAAAGATGTGTGTGGTCTGGCGTATCACGGCGAAAGACCACTCCTTTTCTATTGATTAACCTTTTTCAATTCTTGCTTGAGTCTCATTAGTCTTCGGCAGAAGAGATCCAAATCGATGGTTTTGCCCGGCGATAAAGGCTCATAATAAACGATGCCCTTCCAATCCCACTATACACACAGCATCACTTTCTTGCGTGTTAATCCGGGGTTCGCTACAGTCCGTGGAGCTTGACTACCCCTTGACCATGATCTTTTACGTACTTTCATGTCTGGTATCCACTTTTCACATCAGAAATTAAAAATGGTTCGGCTTCAATAGATTCAATGAGATTTCAATAGATAATCACAAATGAGTGTACACGATTCATGAGTGGTAACCCAAATTTCGAGCTTTTTGGTACAGGTTTTTCAAATGGGGCCAAACTATTTTGTGGTAAATCCGAAATTCCTCGGCTATGTCGTAACTACTAATTTGCCGATCTTGCTTCACTTTTTCATAATAGGCATTGACTTTATTCGTATGAGGGTGATAAAAGCGAGCTATTTAACATCGAAATTCCCGAACTGAAAACGCTTAAACCAACTTTGTACTAGTGTTACTGACACTGCATTAGATCCATAAACGTCACAAATGTTTTCGGGCCTGAGTCGCATTTTTTCCTTTTTGTAATAAAATTTCAGAATGCATAGAATTTAGATTCACTCATTTTGGCGGACAGAAAAACAATTGAAAAATGGCGGGAATGTGTTTTTACTTTTTCTTAATGTCCTATATGTGTCGATATTAAAACTAGACAGATACAAACAGTATAAATAAAGATTTCTTCAATTTTTTACAAACGAAATACGAACCCCTGAAACTTTTTCCTCGACCTATTATTATAGGGTAATTATTTATAGTTTATAGTATTTTTTAAGTTCAATTAGGTATATTTTTATTGAATAAAGGTGACATACGAGCACATAGGTACCTCCTGGTAAGTAAATGCTGTAGTTCGTAGACATATTCATCTGTCCATATGATTGGTATGATTAAGAATCAAAATGCAGTTGAGTTTCAACCTCTAAAATGGAATGCCTCGTTTCCAGTAAAAGGTGTCTCCGGTTCTCTACACTAACCATACGAAACACAGCACCTGCATTATGGAGTTATTTAATGCTAATATCATGTGAATAATACGTCGTGGAGCCATTCTGCAGTTATATAAGTAGTATAGTTGTAGCACGAATGGGTCGGCTCGACCGGGGAAGGACCACGCTCTCACAGAATACCAGCGTGAAATAGTAGCTTAATGCTGCTGTGTTTCGTATGGTGAGTTTAGAGAACCGGAGACCCCTTTTACTGGAAACGAGTTATTCTATCTTAGTCCTCACGGGTGACAACGCATCTGCATTTTTATTTGTAATCGAGGATAGATGTAGATGTCTATGGGCCGCAGCAACCACTTACCATCAGGTAGACTGTGTGCTCGTTTGTCACCCTATTCTATAAAAAAAATGTGAGAGCGTTCTTTCCCCCGGTCAAGCCGACCCATTCGTGCTACAGCCATAATATAGTCGCAGCAGCAGCAGTACGCAGATCCACTATAATTTTAATTTTAATGTATTTAAATTAAAAGTAATAGAGTATTTTATCCCAAACTAGCAACCCGCGCCGGCTTTGCTTTGGCTTTGGATGTGATCTATAAGATATTACATATTTTTACAATTAGTTTTTTCAAAAAAGATCAAGTTTTTTTGATAACATATACTCGCAGCTTAGATACCCACTGGTGCTGCTATCTATCTATTCGTAAAGTTAAATCGGGCTGAAACGATTATGATAAAACTGTACTAATGAAAAATTCACTACATCTACGCGATAAATATTTTAAGTACAAACTAAAAAAAATTGGTATGACAACAATATTCAATGAAATATCCACATAAGAAAAAATGTACGGCTTACCTAATAACATTGCAATTTTATCCATAATTGATTTATTTTTCCAGGACTTTATCAATAGGTAGTGTTCTGTATCAGGTCACTCAATCACCGTAATCAAATAATTTGAGATTCCGTACGGGTCGATGTGTTGAATGGTTGAAACAATTCGAAACTGATGTGATCTTACGAACGTATATAATGTCCCCTCCTTCCCTCGCTAACTTAACCTGCCATAAACATGTTTCTCAGAGTTACAAGAACATGATGACTCATTGTGTTAGTAAACCTTTTCAACAGTCACATTTGCATGTACAGTGTATAAGGTGAATTCTGTATTTGCAAGCTCTGTATGTAATAAGTACATCTTTAGAATTAGTGATTTTATATTTATTTTTTAAATTTTTATTTTGGAATGTTATAATACACAATATTAGTTGTGGAACAGTAATTCCGCTGCGCTGATTCACGCACTGGGCGTGTTGTTGGACTTCTCATGATTTCATTATTTTTGTATTCCTCGGATATGCAGGTCACCAACATGTACTCGTGGTCAATCAATGCTTAAAATTGAAATTTACAATTTTATTGATGCCAGCTGGGCTTCAAACCGAAAGTCTTAACTCTTGAGCTACCTCATCGCTTCATGACAGCATAATATAAATCCATAAATTAAAATAAGTTTACTCTCTAATCATTTTCAATTATTAGGAAGAACTATTTTTCCGTATTGATTAAAACTACTTTTACGGATTTTATCGCGTTTTATTTATATTAATTTTAATACCCGACGTTTCGGGTGCTTTCCAGCACCCATGGTCACGGGGGACTGAGGTGACTGACGTCCCGATGTCAAAGTTAACACGGAGTACCTTCGCCTTTTTAATTAGTGTCTTTGGTCCGATCTACGCAGAATGAACTAACTGTATTTTGAAGTCTTGCAGTGGTATGCTTGGGTTTAGTTTTAATTTTATTAATTATAGGATCCCAAGCAGGTGGTAGTACCCAGCCTCCTTCTATCTAATCTTCTTCTATCTAATCTAATTTCAATAGAGAACTTCAAAATACAGTTAGTTCATTCTGCGTAGATCGGACCAAAGACACTAATTAAAACGGTGAAGGTCCCCCGTGACCATGGGTGCTGGAAAGCACCCGAAACGTCGGGTATTAAAATTAATATAAATAAAACGCGATAAAATCCGTAAAAGTAGTTTTAATCAATGTATAGTCACGGTAATATTATCTATACAGTATTGTAACTCGGCCGTATCTTTCAAATAAATGCCTACAGCCATGCGGCACGTAAACATGTGAGAGGGCTGCCTGCCTCCAGGATTTTTACATTTGCCTACTTTGTGTTTCCATTTAGTTTTATGATTGTAATATATACTTTTTATATAAACAAATAAAATAGGTACTTTTTGAATTGAATAGGAAGTGTTCAATAAAAATACGTGTCGTTTTTTGATTTAATCGGTTAAATAAATTTGTGATCGAAAAATATTTGCACCTCGGCTGAGACTTACGAAATGCTTTATTATTAGATTTTTAAATATAAAAAATCCGCTTTCTAATATAAAGCTAAAAATAATATAAATTAAAAATTGTTTTGGGAAACATGGACAACGTGGAGAAAAGGAATATCTTTTATATAATTGATTATAGATACCTGCAGCTACTTTACAATTTATATGTTTGTTTTTAAATGAAGTTCAGATTTATTATTTCTTTATTTCTATTCTATTCTTTATTTCCTCCATTTTTTTTAAATATATTTCACAAAATCATCACTGCGGCACAGTCTCGACTGTCTGCATGCCGAGCGCATGCCGAGATCGAGGCGCGTAGGTATAGCTCTCGCTTCGTGCGTTTGTATGAAGTTGGAATACTGTATAGATAATATTACCGTGGTATAGTGTTCGCGTAAATATAAGAAATCATTATTTTTCCGTATTCAAATAAGTCTATTTTTACAGATTATATTGTGTTCATTTTAGCTTATATTATATTAAATTCAAGATAGTATTCGCGTAAATATAAGCAATAATTTATACTTTGTGCAAATCATTAATTAGCATTAATTATATGTCACAGATCATCTAGGCCACACTTCATATCTTATGTGATATCATAATATAACTAACATTAATCATCCGCCTTAGCTTTGCCTGGGTAGGATCTGTTAAGGGGAAATATAACCTCAAATGGCTTAGCAAGATCCTCCGTTATGCCGAAAGTATTGCAGCATTAATTTTGAAATAAATATATGGTAAAGTTGAGGATTAATGTTAAGGTTTATGTTAGACGAAAACACGATTCCGTAAAATTTTCTCGATAGAAAAAAAAATCCAAAGTTACCTCCAAACTGAACAATAAACCGCTGTTATTCATAAAATACTTTAAATAAGATCATGAAACTTTGCATACTAACTGAACTAACCATAAAGCAGTGCTTATGTTATTTACTTTTTTTAAAATATCATTATTTTCACTGTAAAAAAGAAATTACCTAAACTATCGGCGCGTAAGCTTGATTCCTGTCGCTCCGTTAGTATTGCTCCGGCTTTTGAAGGGAGAAGTTGTGTCGCTTACGATCAGAAAACACATTACGTAGCAGGAAGATGTAAAATTAAAATGGGAAATAACCGTTATAAAAATAAGAAGCGACTGGGTTGGCGTTAAGAAACAGGCATATATATGATAAACATAATGAAATAAGTATTTAACGACCTATCTACTTACAGTATTAGTGATTACAAACATGTCGGTACATAGCATACGACGCGCGGGGAAGTGGGGGCGAAATTAGAATTTGAGCTGACTTACTCTCACCTCTTAATGAGGCGTTATTTAGATGTAAGAAAATCATCAAAGACAATTGTTGGTTTTGATATATTGTATCATTATATATATATACAATATATGTATATATATATATATATATATATATATATATATATATATATATATATATATATATATATATATATATATACAATATGTAACGTAATTAACGCACACCCTCAGACACTCCAATTAGTATATTAGGTTATAATCATAATACATACACTACACATTTTTATGCACTGATTATTTATCAAATTAGTTATACTAATTCCGGAAGAATGTTGTGGTCACAGTACAAATCCATGAACGCAAAGACTTTAACGTGCTTGAAATAAAGTTTATTTTTATTTATTTTTATTGAATGACAGAATTAGTAATAATACAAATAAAACTGCACTCTTAAAAGTCTTATTGCCTCAAGTTACGGTCCATTTCAGTTTGTTTTGACTGTACATATTTAATGTGACCGTAATTTACGTAGTTTTAATTATTTTTGGGATAAAAAATTACCTATATTAAAAATGATAGGAATGGATTCAGTAAACAATTCTGAACAAACTACTTTCTCAAAGTGCGTTAATTATGTTACATGTTGTATAGTTATTTTTCAAAGAGTAGCCAAATAAACTTATATGAACATACATATATAAATAATGATATACTATTATTGTATTTTTTGAAAATACGAGTGAATAATTTCTACTTTTATTTGAAATTATCGCAAATTGGATGTGATTTTTTTATAGAATAGAGGTGACAAACGAGCACAAAGTCCACCTGATGGTAAGTGGTTGCTGTGGCCCATAGACACCTACATCGATCCTCGATTAAGAATCAAAACGCAGATGCGTTGTCACCCCTGAGGACTAAGATGGAATGCCTCGTTTTCAGTAAAAAAGGGTCTCCGTATCTCTCTCTACACTCAACATACGAAACACAGGAGTACTAAACTGATATTTTACGCTGGTATTCTGTGAGAGTGTGGTTCTTCCCCGGTCGAGCCATCCCATTTGTGCTACAACCATAATATAGCTGCAGCGTGGCTCTACCACGTATGAAATTGATTAAGGCGCCACAACGTATTTGCCTACCGATCGACCCTTACGAATGTGTGATCGTGCGCAATAAAATCAGTTTGTGGCGACGCACACATTTATTTATTTTATTTAAAGAAATAATTATTATTTCACAGATATGTATGTATACAATTTAATATTAATATTATAATATTTATTGCATTTATATATCTACAGTACAATTACAGTCACGCACACATATATATTATACTATTTCTATTTATTATAGTAAATTTTATTTTAGTATTGTATTATAGTATAATTCTCGGTGCCGGCCGGTCGAAGTACATTGGAAACAAACATTCGTTTTAATTATTATCAACACCGTGTACCTGAGTACTTTGCCTACGTCCGACGATCAGATTGCGACTGGCTGGTCGTTGAACATAACGCGACGTAGGCAAAGTACTCAGGTACACGGTGTTGATAATAATTAAAACGAATGTTTCTTTCCAATGTACTTCGACCGGCCGGCACCGAGAATTATACTATAATACAATACTAAAAAAATTACTATAATAAATAGAAATAGTATAATATATGTGTGCGTGACTTAATTGTATTGTAGATATATAAATGCAAAAATATTATAATATTAATATTAAATGTATACATACATATCTGTGAAATAATAATTATTTCTTTAAATAAAATAAATAAATGTGTGCGTCGCCACAAGTTAAAATGTGTAAAATTTTGAAATTTTTTTCAATAGTTTTCTTCACCAATTTTCTTATATTACTTATTGTGAACCTCAATGCAAATTTAACCGCTATTGCAAAATACCCCCAAGTTTCTACTACCTGGCATTCTCTCTATCTTTATTTCTTATGATTGTTCAGCCAATATTAAGGTTTCCCGGACAGACAAACGGACACTTTAATTTTCTTAATACGTGTAGATTACAGCGAGATCAAGGATCTAATTAGTATTTCTCGAGCGTAACTTACGCTCGATAATCTATATCCGTCTCATAAAGGACATTGGCATTTATTATAGTGAAATAGTAAAAGGATACTGATTCATAGGTACTGATTCATAGGCACTGCCTGCGGAATTTTGCTTATCAGTTTAAAAACACATTTTACAATAATGGTCCATGGTCACGGGGCACCGAGATGTTTGA